GTCCGAGTATAATCAATTAATGTGATAAGGTCTTGAAGATTCTTGGACTGGATGTATTTCTTTCCATAGATATTAGCGAGAATGCTATGGCATTGTTGTTTTTGAGAGTAAGATTTGGGTAAAGATTTGAATATCTCTTGAACAAGACTGATGATTGTGTCGAATGCCGGAATTGACTCTCTTGCAAATGCATACTTTTGGAGATGCTGCAGATAATCCAGGAAATACTGCCCTCGCCTGGCATGGCCTTCGGGTATCGTTTGGAAAAGCTGGCCAGAATAGTCAACGAGGGTCTTCAAGTCTGAGGCAGAATTCGTCTTGATATGCTTGGCATTGAGTAGCTCAACGATTTGTCTTAGAATCTGATTTGTTGTTTCATGGCCAGTGGGTAAGCCCTCGAGTCCCATTTTGCATTTTGTGACCCCTTCGTCCAAATCCTCCATCTTATCAGTCTTCTTGAATTTGTCTGCAGCCATCATTCCCAGCTGACCCAGAGCCATGACATGTTGGGGTGTTCCTGGTGTCGTAAGCGACAAAAGTTCGTTGATCAGCTTCATTGCCTCATCAATGTCCTTTTGATCATTACTCTGGACGTATCTTAAACGAAGACGTGATGCAAAGTTATTCAGCGTCATCTGATACATGGCCAAACTTTTGGGCGTTGCGCTACATATGTTCCTGGCACAGGCGATAGCTTCATCTATGTCGTTGAGATTCTGTGCCAGTCCATATCTGTGAGAGAGTGCGTAACCAAGATTGTTCAAAATTTCGAGATGCAGCGCAGACCGGGTGTCTGAGGCCTCTGACGTGGAAGAAATATCTCTTGCCTGGCGGCCGAAAAGTACTGCCTGGTCCAGGGCATGTCGCGAATCAAGCATGATATACTGAGACATCTTAGCGTAGGACAGAGTGTTGAGGTGCTTGGCACGATCAGGGGAATCAGTGGGAAATCGACGAAGAATAGTTTCCAAATGGTCAATGGCATCGTAGAGATATTGCTGCTGTTGGAGTTGCTCAGACAATCTGAGAAGAGATTTCGCGGACTCGGCGCGCAGGTTAATCTCTTCGGCCACGGGTACGTTACCTGAAGCGAGTGTCTCCCGTAGCAAGTCCTGTGCTCTAGCTACGGTGGTCACAATATCAGACCGTGCCGTCATATTTGTCGTAGGCTCTGCCATCTCGACAGTTCAAAGGCATTACAAGCTTTCCAGGGACGTCGCTCTGAGAGCTTTGGGAAAAGTTGCGAGGTAGGCAAAGTGGACAGAAAGTGGGGTTTTGTTTCGTTGCGGCCTGTTTGATGACCCGAGCACTCATCACACGTGATGTTCATCCTCTGCTGCCTGTATCAGGTAAACTTCATGCTTCTATTATGCTCAGTAGCAAAAGTAGCAAACCTTGGTGAGATCTACCTGCGCCCTATGTCTTTCTCCCACTCGTTCCTACTGCGCATTCCAAGGCTGTTTTCAATCATTTGTATCCCCGATTCTACCAAAGCGTTTTACCTGTCTTGACCTCCTTCAAAATAACAGCATCAGAGAGAGCATTTACTAAATCAAGCAGCATCAAGTCGCAATTGCGGTGACCCAGCAAGTCGATGGCAATTGGCAACTTCTCTTCTACGTTGGTAATGTTACTTGCATAGCTGACCTCGCCCACTGGTAAGGAAACCTCGGGACCTTGAGATTGCACACTGAAATAGTAAGGTGTAAAAGTTACCCAAGCCCCTACATCAGGCGGCGAGTATATATTGTTTCGGTAGACCTATTCCATATCAATTAGGTATCAAGTGCAAAACTCCAAGCGAGATGAACTTCACTGACTGTGTTACCAATCGAGAGTGGTATGAGAAAAAGACTATCCGAGCAGGACTCCGGATCTGATTTGACAACATTCTTTCCGAACCACTCCCTGAAGTAGGTGAAACGCTGTTATGAGGTGTTGACGTCCTCCTGCGTCGTATTTAAAGCAGTAAGGTATCTGGCTGCAGGGAATGGATTGATAAACGGCGTACGACCTTCATTGGCAGCAGCATAATCCTTGCGAAAAGGAGTGATAACTTTCTCAAGTTGATTCTTCCAGATCAAATGAAAGCCAATCATTTGCATATAGCTCCAAAAATTTGTTCCAGGTTTATCCACGTGTGCTGTCGCGTTCCAATACTCGCCTACTGACTTCTTCTCAATCGTTGCGTTGAGAAAATCCGCGAGATGATCAATCCATTCAGAGAAGAGGGCTTGACTTGAGTTGGCTTACTACAGGCCAGTAGTTGGTCGGCACAATCAGTTTACGAGGAAATCGTACATAGTGCTGCGGCGCACAGACCACACTAGGTGGTCTGTGCTTTCCTTCCTACTTAGCTAGCTTCCGATGAGAGAGCCTCATCCTGGACTCTCATCTGCATCTATTTATCTTCTATTCCCCTACCTGTATCCGCTTCCGCACATAGTTTTTCGTTAGCTGTTCACTATCGGCAAGTCATGCCTTGCCAAAGTCTCGTAGCAGTTTTGGCGACCGTGTATGAAACCCTATAGCATCAAAATACTCGCCCTCCGGCATTACGCCTTCGTTCGATAACGCGCCGAAAGAGGGTCGGAGACTAAAGACTCTATTTTCAGCTGCTGGAATACGAACTGTGATGTAGAGTTAGTAATTATTCATGTATGACACACTCGGAGAGAGAGTATGTAAAGAAGCCTTCTTAAAGGTCTGCACAATCTGTAATCAAGTCTATGTCACGGAAGACAAGTTGAGGTCGAACCAACAAGAAATGATAATTCACTTACTGCTGCCACCAGTGTCAGTCCCGATAGCGACGTCTAACCAGTCATAAGCGGCAATAGCAGCACTAGATCCCGCGGACGAGACACCAGGATCTTGGTACCCATCACCTCGCGGGTGAAAGGCATCACTAGGCAATCATGGTCAGCTCACCGGCCATCGGAGCATCTCGAAAGGTGGCCGGCCCACTGATAATCAACCCAATCAGCAGTAGGCCGGTTCGAGTTGGTAAACTGGGCAGTTTTGGTTTTGCCAATCATTAGAGCTCCCATTTTGTGTAGTTTCTGCATTGCTGGAGCGCTGGCATTCTTGGCTTCGTAAAGTTTAAACCACGCCCGATTGCCGTTTGAGGTTCTGACACCTTTGAGATCAATAATATCCTTAATACCGACACGAAGTCCTTCAAAGGGTCTGGACTCAATGGCTAAGCCTTTTGTATAGAGCCTGGATGGAACCGGGATTCCAATTGTTGAGTCGCTCAGGGTGTTGACAGTTGCAGAATGGAACGCTCCGTCCGTTCCATTTCGGCAGGATCCCATTCATGAAAGCCATGTGATCACCTTGCAATATCCGGTAAACTGGTCCCAAGATAGGCTCTCTTTCCGATATTTGGGCCAAATACGGCCCATCGGGAACGGTGTCAACAGATTCAACAGCGAGTGCCTCATTTGTGGCGAGGTCAGAGAAGAGGATTTTCGTTTCGTATGCACTCTTCAGGCAAGACAAGAGGTCTTTCTCATACTGAGCAGCGCCGTGAATATATATAGAAAGAAAATGATTGTCAGCTTTGAAGATACAAGAAGATCGCAGTCACACGCACTCTGAAGGAAGAGCTCTTCAAACACATCGTCGGATTGTTGGTACACCTGTACTTGATCCTTGACCCAGTCACACGTCACTGTATTCTGAGTAGATGTAAATGCTGTCAAGGGTGCCAATATTGAAACGGATTCTTGTTTGTTACATCCATGATTGATGAACTTGAAGTTGGCAGTCCATCCGAGGAAATACCCGAGTAGCTGTTCGTTAGTTGCTGGGCTTGTGAACACGACAGACTCCAGTGATGATGTGGCCAGTGACGATAGGGAAAAGGAAGCTTTAGCAAGATCACGGATTGAGGGCATCTTGACTATCTTAGCATTAGCATGTTTCGCACACCAAATCCGGCCTCAAGAGAGGCGGTCAGCGTGATATGCAAGCGAACGACCTTCTTATGTAGAACTTCCTAGTAAACCCGGCCCTAGCGCGAATGACGCCGGGGATAACACGCCTCTGAGCAGCTAAAAAGCAAAGCTCATGATGAAACAGGGCAGCAGTGCCT